GGGGGGGGGGTTGGGTTCACGGTCCAATTTGCGTTGCTCAGTGTGTCGTTCTCGCTTGTCTCGTGTCGAGCGCGACAGCCTTTGCTCTTTCTTGCGAGTGCACTCCTGTAGACTACGCCCGAGGTGATTCCGGTTGATAGGGAGGGTGGTGCATGAAGCAGGGATCGTGCCACATGCGGGATGGCAAGGATATCGAACATTATTGATCTCAAAACTACAGAAGAACTTCGGCATTATTGTGACACGGACACGGACGGTCTATCTCCCGCGACGCCCTTCCCCTCCCCCCCCGTCTCACTCGAACACCCCCCCGCAATTCCTCCCCGCCCGCCTTCCTGCGTTGTGTGTCGCAGCCCTCCCTTACCAGCAGCCGGCACTCTATCCGTGGTTTATCCACTTCGCTCTGTAAGATAGGCTCTCTGTCTCTCGTCGACCGTGTGTGCGGTGCTTGAACGCTTTTTTTGGAGGGAGGGACAACAATGTCCGGAGTCGACGCTGCCTCGTGGATGGAGAGCTTCAAGGAATACCTGGAGCCGGTGACAAAGATTGCCCTCGACGTGAAAGACAAGGTAAGCAAGAGCACTTCCTGCTCTCTTGTGGCCCCGTGGCGCACCCACTTGTCTGTTTTGCTGCTATTTGGCTATGTGGTTCGGTGGCCCTGTTTCTCTTTTTCTCTTGTGAGCTTTTGTGCGTCGTTCAGCGCTGTCGGAGGGAGTTGAGCGGAGGAATCTGTGAGTGTGTCCACGAGTTGAGGAACATGCGCACGACACGCGGCAAGTAGGATGTCTCCCGGTCGACATTGACGTGAAAGCGGCGGCGGTGCATAAGTTCCCATTTCCAATCCTGACTTGGAGAGAAATGCGGTACGAAGTTGCGAGGCGGGTGTGCAGAGCCGTAGGTTAACCTCCGTGGGAGGGAGAGAACCAAGTGTTTCCCGTGCCGTGGTGTGTGGACCGCGACGGTGGTGTTGGCGTTGGTCGAATAGCTGTGAGGGCTCAAGCTTACCGGAACTGCACGCGTCATGGCCGACAAGTTGAGTTTTGGAAACTTGCTCGCTGATATTCTGGCATGCCCCGGCCCGTTCTCCTGCTATAGGGCGTTTTACCCTGCCGATTTGCTTCTAACCATTTTGTATGATTGCCCAAACACATTTTCGACAAACCCGCCAGACTGCGGTATTGTCTCGAATGGGCTCCTGTAGCCTTTCGATTGTACAAGTTGTGTATTTTCTGAGTGCCAGACAGGCGGCATTGCAAGTAGTCACCGCAGTACAGCGCAAGTGTCTGTAGTAGTAGGCATTATGGGCGTCGTGCGAGGTCTGTTGAATCGTACAACCTTTGAGCTTTGTTGCGCGAGGTCTCCCGATGATGAGCTTTGCCCCATTGGTGGGATGGGGGTCAGTAACGTCAATTGTTTGCGGAGAGACTCAACAGCCACGTGCAAGATTGCTCCAGCTATGACTAGGTAGATATCCCGTGGTGTGTGCGATACACGAGACAATTATGTGAAACATTGTTGACTGCACTAAATAGGAAGCAAATGGTAACCTCTGCCCGGTGTTACAGGGTACATGGGGGGAATTGCCCACTCCATCTCGTTTTATCTCATGCATCTTTTGTGTTGCGTGTAAAAAAGCAGCCAAGCGTGACATCGGGGGGCATTGCGTACTTCCCCTGCTGCCTACCAGTAGTAAGGTAGTACAACAGTGCACAGAATAATCCTGTAGGGTACGGGGATGATACAGAACTCTCTGTGCCTCTCTGTAGGGTAATAACAGAGGGTAATTACCCCCGGTATAGGTCTGTGAGTACCCTACAGAACCCGCCCTTGCAACAGTGCGTGTTCCCTGCGGATTCGTCCCGCGGTCACGCATATGCACTACAACAGGTACCAGGTTTTCCCACGAAACCCTAAGTACGCACTGCTGTTGTGGCCGACCACAGGTCCTCGCATCGGAGTTGCAGATATTTTATTCTTACCTCAAGTTATCCACCAAGGCAAGCGAAAGCAAGGTCGAATCGAACTAGGTGAGCCTTTCCAAGACATCCCATAAGGAAGCGATTTTAATGCCCTCCCCACTTTCCACCTCCTCCGTGTGACGCTTGCAGCTGGAAGGGTACGACTACCCGCCAGCCGTCGTCGATGCGTACAAAACCACGGCGACCGCGATCGGGGCCGAGGATATCAGCCCGGTCTACGTCGGCTTCGGTGTGGTGGCTGCTTCGGGCTTCCTCCTCTTGGCCTGCCGTAGCTGCCAGGCCGCCCCACAGAAGAAAAAGGGCCGTGGATCGAAAAAGTCCAAGGCGAGAGCCAAGGCGGCTGCTAACGGAAACGTGCAGAAGAACGGAGGGAGTGGGAAGGGCGGACCGGTGGCGGCAGCTGGAGGGGCTGCCGCCAACGGTGGGTCGGGGGCCCGCGACCTTGCTGGCAAGAAGCCGAAGCCTGCAGCTGGCGGTGCACAGGCCGCTACCCCGAAGGCCTCCAAAAAGGCTCCCGCGACGGCACCCCAGCCCCAGGGGAAGGGCAAGGGCAAGAAAAAGCCCGTGGTAGAAGCTCCTCCTGTGATCACGGTGAGTTGAGGCGGATAGACGCCATTGGTTTGCGTGGCCACAACGTTCTCAATGATCGGCGTCCCCGCCCAGGTTGTTACTTTGGGTGCCGGTGTGTGTTGTCAGGTGGGATGTTGTTCGTGTCGGAAGAATGGTGAGTCTCCACCGAGACCAGTCACCGCTGGTTTAGTTTGTGACCATGTAGACCTTCTGACGGATGTTTCTGGATTCGAAGCTCGTAGAACAGCAGGCTAAGAATATCGTTGCAAGCCATCGTCGTGAGGAAACATAAAGAAGAGGGCAGGGACTGCTGAACCCATCTGAAGTTGAATAATTTGCAGGAAGGGAGAGAAAAATGCGCCAGTATTGTCCATCCTGCTGCGTGACTCCGACTGTTGCGTCAAACACATGCTGGAGTATTCTGAAAGGTCTAGAGTGGCGCACAGAATAGGTTGGATGAATAACACATGCACACACCCACGCTAAAGGAATTGACCCTCTCGTTGACCTCGTCGAGGTGTACGGCCTAGAGGGACGAGTGTGACGGCGCAAGACTGGCAGCTATGGGTAAAAAATTCCGCCGGGTCTAAGCAATAGTAATGTTTTTTCGCGGTGGCAACGTGAGAAACAAAAACTACGTGCATATGTCAGTCAATGGGTTGCGAATATTGACAGCCACCGCGTTCTGGTTCAACCACTACCAAAATTAGGATCCGGATGACCTTCGGAACGACCGGAGCTCGACCGGTGCTTCTGCCCCGTTCCTCCGTTTGGCACAATCCACCTCCAAGAGGCCCTGCCATAATATAGGCGGTGTGCCCTCTGTTTCGCACTACCGACTGCTGTAGCACTCAACCAACTGCACGCCCTTCCGCGTGGTCAATTGTGTCGGTTGCCCTTACTGCAGGAGGAGCCGGAGGCGGCGAAAAAGCTCAACAAAAAGAAAGAGAGGGCCGCCAAGAAGGCCAAAGCGGCGGCGGCGGCGGCGGCAGAAGCAGCAGCCAGTAAAAAGACGTCGAAGAATAACTCGACGGCGGCGAACGGTTCTACACCGGGTGGGGCAGGACCCCGACAGGCACACCAAAACGGGGGTGGCGGTGCCGGAGAAGCCGACCCGTGGGGGGCGCAGCATGCAGGAGGCGAATGGCAGACGGGACCCATGGGCTCGCAAGAGGGGGAGTGGGAAACGGTTTCCCACAAGAGGTCCAAGCCTCGGAAGGAGAAGGCGGCGGTGGACGATGCGAACACCATCCCCGGCGGGCTTGGGCTTTGACCGACGCTTTGGTGTTGTTGGTGCCCATGTCCATCGTCCATGGTCCATTGTGGGCTGGAATTGGGGCCCCGCGGTGCTCCTCGGCAGTGACGGCGGTCTGCCGGTCCTCTGTTGTGCGTGTTTAATATCTCGTATTTTCTGTTTCAGCATACGGAGTATGATTAAGTTGGTGGTCGCTGGCGGGTGGTGTTTCCCGTTTCCCCGTCTGTTGGGGACTGTCGAGGTATGGACGGCGATTAGGACAGTGGTGTAGCTGTCGTGCGCGAGCAGAGTCGATGGGTGCGGTAACCTAGAGCGCGCGGAAGGTGAAACAGGTCGAACACCAGGTGATATGCACACCAGGCGAGCGTGTGAACCTTGGGGGCACATTTGATCGAACGCTTGTTGGCCTTGTTGGTGTGCGTTCGATGGGAGATAAACTGTGGCGCATGGGGTGTCAGGTTAAGAATTTAGGTATGGGACAGTCGACAAGCAGTATCATGTTGTTCGGCAGGTTGCGCAACGAGCAAACTACTAGGGTAAAACTGAAATCTTGTGTGTGAAATGAGGGAATCGTCCTAGGAAGTACTCGGGAAGATGTTTCCCTTTCGAGGGTCATCTCCACGGCATCCTCCACTTTGCCTTGTGTGAGCGGAACCCGACCGCCTGGCTGCGAGGTAAACAGGTGCGCTACGTCTACCACGTCACCAAAGTCTCATCACTTCAGAAGTCATCTCGTTTGTCCAAAATCAGATCCCTCTGCGTCGACGCCAGTGTTTCGAAGAGGGAATCCATGAGAGACGTTGAGGACACGCTGAAGGTCATATTCACATGAGCGGAAATACCCATTTGTTGGGGAAGAATGTAGCCACCGTACTTGCCCGGCGCGCATGGGTTGTCATTCCGCTAGCTCACTTGACATCTGTTGGAATGTTATATTCGAAATAGGAAACCGAACAACTTGCTATTTGTAATTTCATCCTCTACCCCGAAAGATGTCAAAGGGGTCGTCTGGGAATAAATGCGTTTCGCTGCTGCCGGCTGGTAGGTGGATTCTACAATTAGTTGTTTTCAGAGGCGTCGCCGTTTCTGTGTCCACCTCTGACTTAATCCATATGACGGGTAATCTATGTGAGTGCTAGGTGTAGGTGTAGGTCGCCTCCGCTCTAAGAGTAGACAGCGTGTAAAAGAACCCTTGCAGATAACATTACATATCTGGAGGTGTTGGTCTGGCTGACATCACTGCTTTATACGTGGAAGTTGAACAAACTCAATAAGCCCGTATCGAGCAGGTGTCCCTCAATCCTAAGTGGAAAGATTCAGTCAACACGACAAATCTCTGACGTGTGTCTCGAACAGGTAGAGCAGTGCTTCTATTCAATGTCTTACATGCTCTCTACGAGTGTGTACCAGCCATTCCAGCAATGATTTGTCCTGGGTCTCGGCCGCACACCTCGATGTGATCGTGTGCGAGTCGCCAAGTTGGCGATGACCGAGTCCCGACACACGCAAATGCTGGCCGCATTACATCATGCGTTGGAGGCGAGACCATTAGCGGACTGCAGAACGCAGTGCCGACAACATCCACCGGTGTGTCGCGGATTTGGTGGGCGTTATACACGTTGATTGGTGCGACAGATGAACCGGTCTAGTTTCGTAGGTGTAATATGGTACTACAGCAGTATCGAGTTGGTACTACCCCCATTTGTGTGTTTGGTCGTGTTTGACATCGGATTACATCGAAAACCAGAGGCATCCCTTGAATGCCGTGACACATGACTTCATTTTGTTCGAGTCTTAACAACAACGGGCTTAAAGACGTGCTATTCCTGCCCGCCACTCCCTTGAGCGCCAGACTGATGAAACCCGTACTTTGATGGAAGGCAATCGATTACCACAGACCCGATCCTCCGAACGAAAATATTTCACACGGCATGGCTAGAGTGCGACAGCATCCTGGTCACACATGTTCATGAGGGGAAAAAATCCTCGGGGAGATAAGATCTTTTTTCGGCCTGGCGGAGAGAGTAAAACTCCGCAGACCTTCATACTGGGATCCGCCTGCCTCCTCTATCGCTTGTCCTGACTAACTATTCTCAAGTCTTTAGCCCCGGCAAGCGACCGAAGATGCTACCGTCCTCAAGCTCCGCGTACTGTAACAGCCGAAGTACGTTGTGGGCGCGACCTGGTCCGTCTTCGTGTCCCACAGGCCCTCGCTGCTCTGAGGCCGGTGCCGCCAACAGCGAGCCCCTGGCTCACTCGCCGCGTACCCCCTCCCCTCCCCTCGCCCATCCTCGTTTGATCACGCCGCATCGTGCCTTCGAACAGTTTCGAATCCCTCCGCTCCCGCTGTTGGCCAACGTCCGTGCTGGGTATTCTGGCGGGTCGGAAACGTGGGAGCGAGACTACCGGTGCTGCTCGCGGGCGCGTCGCGACAGTGACTGTACGCGTTCCGGCTAAAAATGCTCTCCTTTCTGCTCCCTTTCGGGACAAATCTCGGCGGAGACGTTCTGTTCGCTTCGTGTAATGTGCACGAATGTCGCGGAATTCTTGGAGGTGCGTGTTGTTTCCCCCACGCCCGCGGTTGGTAGAAGCCCCCCCGCCTTCGCTACGCGTCTTCTGCCCTCCCGCCGCCAGCGCACCTCCCCGCCGAGAGAGAGTGGACGACTTGCGTCGGTGGCTCCCTCCCGCCGCAGCTGCCGTCTTCCGTTGCATCCACTCGCGAATAATGCGGTCCTGCCGCGCGATTCGTATTGCGTCTGTTCTCTCCCCGGCCAGCTTACGCTTTGCCTCGATGCGCTTCTTCTCTCCAATAGCGCTGCGAAACCCTCCGCCACCACCCTGTCGCCCTGCTACTGCCCTTGGATGTCTGTGCACATCCGGCAGTTGCGTGAGAAAAGTGGATGCCACCCCCCCACCCACCCGCGAGCTCGACGCTCTCGCCCTGGCTCTCAATCCGACTCCACTAGTGTTGCCCATGTTTGTTCTTGTTCTCCTCTTCCGGTGCACACTGTTTTCCAAAATCTTCTCAGGCTTTCGGCGTACGCGGACAGAATAGTACGTTTGTGACGGCGTGTCGACCGTAGCTTCGGTGGTCTGCTTCGAAAAGCTGAGCCGCCTGTTTCTCGATCCCACGCCAGGCCTTCCCACATTGCTTCGCCGGTGAGGAACGTCGCTGTCCCCGGCTCTGCCTAAATTTCTTCCTTGTCTCACCGATCTGGATATATCTTCGGCGGTAGACCCCGCCCCTCCCTGTTTCGTGGCGCGGAAGTCATCGTAGACATTGCTCTTCTCCAACGAACTGATTCGTTTTTCGAGCTCAACCAGCTTGTCAAGGCTGCCAAGCACAGTGTCAAGCGCACCCACTCGTTTTGGTGGTCCATGCTCAGCCCCAGCTGTACCTCCAGCACCAACCCCCTCCCTTGGATCCCTGCGCGCCGATGCTGGCCCGCCCCTTTCAGTCGTGTGCAACTTGCCGAGCATAAGCTGCTGTTTCTCACGTTCGAGCTGCTTTTGAGCTGCCCGATACTTGACTCTTCTCGCCTTCATCTCTCCCCTCTTTTCAATCTAACAACCCGATGCGCAAGCGGTTCATAAAGGCCATGGATGAAGGCGTTAAAACTGTTGAATAATTGCAGCCACCGCAGCTCTGTTGAAGTACGCGAGTGCGACAGTGCCACGATCTTTAAGCAACATATGAATAATACACAAGCTCAGGTGTGGTATCGAGGGTGCTCCGGACGTTGATCAAACCATAGCATGGCTTGGATATGTCACACCGAAGACGACGTAAAGACTGCATCCCGTAAGTTGCCAAGACTCTGCTCGAGGATGCAACCCCGTTTTGGCGCAGGATTGAAATACGCAGCAATTTACGCAGTACGCGACAAGGTGAGTCCTGTGCTCGTTCAAGTTTGTCTTTCACGGGACGGACCAGCACACGCGGCAACCTCGAGAAGCTCCAGTCAGGACACAACTGTTAAGACCGATCGACGTCGTCTCTGCTGCTTTGCTATGTAGAGGTCATTGGGATGTGTACACCAGTCGTCGCATCTCTCTTAGCCTTGCACTGGTATCAGAAACAATGTCTAGGCTAGTCTATGCAGCAGACTGCGGTGAAAACCTGAAGGAGGTTGTTTCTACGGATCCATCAGGAAATACACATGCACCCTTGCGATTGTGAACTGTGATGTTCAACTCGACCTCGCGTATTTATTACGTACAGAGAGCAATAACATCACAGGCCCTGATGCACATGTGCGCCATGTATGTTTTTCCCAATAAATACGACCCGCAGAACCGCTCGTTGCCCAACGCCACACATGCATGCCTGTTTTCTACCTGGTGGCGAAGGTTCCTCAAGCTCCTGATATGCGCAGCGACCTCCGTGTCCAGTCTACCTTCCGTCTCCTCTTCCTGCTTTTCGTACTTGCACATGAAGTCCTTGCTGACCTGGAGGGGCTTGCTCTGCTCTTCCTCGATCACCTGCTGCATCCAAGCTGCCCTTTCGTCCGTGGGCATCGACTGCGTCGTCATGGCCGGGACGGGCCTCGATGTACCCCCTCCCCGAGCCTTAATTTTCTTCGTTTTCAAAAGAGCAGCCTTCAAGGCTGCCTCGTTCGCCAACTTGTGCCAGTGAAGCAGTTTTATCTCTGCGCGAAGGTTGTCCATCGCTTTGGTCGCATTTCCATCACCGGTTGCACTCGGCATGCCACGCGCTGCGGTAGTCGGTCCCGAATGCCCGGAGCGAGCAGACATTGGTACGCCGCCTGCATGCGGAGTGCCCTTGTTACGTTGTCCCTTCGACCACTGGAAAGCTTCGAACTCTGACACCCAGCCGTCATGGGCAAGCCTCGCGTCGCCGCTCACCTCTGTTGTATGCGGGGTGGCCGAGAGAACGTCCAAGGTCATGATGGCAGGGGCAGCAACGGCAACGGCAGTGCATCCCGTAGTGGCAAGCTTTTCGTGCTTCTGGTGTATCTCGACGTGAGCTGCCTTCAACACGTGAACTCCACAAGCATACCAATCAGTGACGATGGCTTGTTGATGCCGTGGTGAAGATAGGCACCTGATCTGCGGAAGACAGCCCTCGGGTACGATTTTCCATGGCCGACGAACAAGAGAAGAGCTCGCGAAAAATCGAGCGTCGTCGCCGGCCGTACCTTACAAATATGGCGGTTACTTTTTCAACTATCAGGAAAAAAAAAACAGGAAGCAGGAAGCGCCGACCCCCAGACAGGCACGGGGCAAAGCAGAAGTTGTGGTTTGTTTAAACATCTTCAGAAAAATAGCGGACAGGGAGAGGGAGGAGGCAGAATCGACAATCGACAGCTCTTCTCGGCCGTTGGGGCTCTGTCGATGGTGATCTTGTGGTGATTGCTGTTGCTCACATGCCCTTGGGGAGATCATGGGTGCTTGTCGCCGCCCTTTCAGCCACCTCCGCGGTACCTGCAACCATGTCTGATCTGGCGACTTCTTCACGCCATCGCTTCCCGGCCATGGAGGTGGACGTGGGCGAATGCATCTTGCTCTTCGGAGCATACGCCAACGGAAACATGGGCGACGTGATCCAAAGCTCGACGATGGGAAGGCTGATGTCCAACGTTGCTCCCGCAGGCACTTGTATTTGGCATGCACACCCCAGCAAGGAATCTGCGGAGAATGGATTTCACGAAGGTATGATGATGTGGCCGTCCTCCACACGGAAAAGCCGCAGAAGTTGAGTTTACTGCTGTCGCACACACATCATGCTTCGAACCTGCCCTTGAGACTGCTGTCCACGATTGACTGCTATCCTCGCTTATGCATCCCGCCATTTTGACCCCACACTACATCAGCCGAAGAGCATATACGTGGCGACCGCGCCACCGCTCGTTATTTCAACACTTCAATTTAATTCTTTTTTGGTTCACTCTCCCGCTGCCCTACTATTCCGTGCGGTATATGATTGCCTCATGGCCTATAGCGCTTGGTCCCTTACTCTGTCCGTGATCCGTTGCGTGGGGTATTGTACGTATGCATATGCGTAGGGGAGTTTTTCGGGGACAACTCCGCTGGCCTGATACCTCTGGGGTGCGATCACGAGAGTGGTGAACAGGTGAGGGGCACAGGAAGGGTGTGCTTGAGGTTTTTGAGATGGTGTCTCCGAACGGTGCAGGCGGCACTACTTTTTTTCCTCTGTTGCCATCCCCAACTTGCGGTGTTTTCCTTTTTCTTAATGCGAGCTACGCATGCCCGACGTCATTGAAGGGGCCATCAACTGCCGGAATAGATCTCTGGAATGCATTAGCAGTCTGTGACGCCTCCCACAGGCTAGATTGCTTTTCGTTGAACAATTCTAAACACTCCGCTCAAACACTTCTTTGCTCCTTTGTCGTACCATGGTATTTTTTTTTTTCTCCGCTCAAACACTTCTTTGCTGCTCCTGTCGTACCAATATGGATGTGATACCGCTGATGTACATACCCTGAGGAGGGTGTCCAACCCCCCCCTCCTGTGTGACCCCGGTTGGGTCGTCTAGCTGGTGGAAGTGGAGGATAGGGACCAGAGGGGCAGACGACAGAGTCCAATGATAGGAGAAAAAAAAAAACTCTTCCTGCCTTGCACGCAGGTGAGCCGCTTCAAGGCCTTTATTATAGGAGGTGGAGGCCTCTTCGAATCAAGACATTGGCCGCTTGATTGCGAGGCCTTCGTACATGGCCTTGGGGACGAGCTACCGCTTGCCATCTTCGGAGTCGGCGCGAGGTGAGGTTGAGCTTCGGTCGCCATTCGGGCGGTTTTGTTGTCTTAGTTTACCGCGGATTTTGCTTCCGATTTACAGCCTCTTGTTGTTGTTGTCTTCACATTAAAAACCGTTCCGATCTCCCCACCCAGTACCTTCGTATGTCCGTACTGATACAACACTCGACGCGGTCGATTCCCGTGGTCGCAGGCTAACTTACCCTAAAAAATAAAATGGCCCCGAGGGGTCCGCAAGTCAATCGAAATCAACGACAGATATTCTGGAGTCCTCCACTCCCTCTGCGCGCTATGCGAAGTAACAACTGAGACTAGGAGTCACAATCACGGGCCGGAGAGAATGAGGTACACGCCCTTGGTTCAATCTTCACACCGCACGCAGAGACATCTAGCACAGAAAAAGAGAGAATAAGAGAAAAAGAGAAAAGAGAAGAAAACAAAAGGAAACAGTAAGGAAAGAGAAATGAAATAAAAAGAGCGAGGACAAAAAGGGACCACGCCGAAAAAAACAAGAAATATTAGACAGAAAAAGGCACACGGTGGAGAGACCACTAACGACAAGCAAACACGCAAACATGGCCATCAACCAGCGATACATTGTAATGGTACGTCATCACTAGTGGGGGGTTGGTGCAATGGTGCAGCGTT